ATTGCGAAAATTGCAAAATAGTAGAGGACTTTTCGATTCAGTTTAGTCCGCTCTATCTACACAAAAGTGATTAGCAAAAAAGGTCGGGACATCCTGTATATAATTATATATAATTGTATATATAAATTTATATATAATTATATATAAATATATGTAATTATATACAATTATATAAAATTATATATTGGATATGGAAATAAGTTTTCGTCCTTTCTTAATGAAAAAGATGTATTTATTTAAACAAAACAATACAGAATGAGTTCGTTCAAAGTATGCTCCATCGGAAGCGACAACTTTCTTCCACCTTTCAGGTAATAAACGGATTTGTCGAAGGAAGAAATCTGATTCTTTTGAAGCGATCCATTCATTAAGCTATTTTTTGATAATTCATAAGAATTAAATCGCTCTCCAGAAAGGGCCGACTGCATGGACCGGAACAAATGGAAATCTGAAGGAGCAATATGGCGGGTGGGATAGAATTTCCCACTTTACTCCTTCTAAGTATTTCTTGACTGGATTTGCAACGTGTGACCTACACTGTTAGAAATGTAATCACGAGCTTCCTTTACATGTAAATGAAGCTGGTGGTTACGAATGAAATTAAAAGTAATGAATGATTTAACTGAAAATTAAGTTACAGTAGTTACTTAAATGTAATGAACGTGTACATTAAATTTATGAAATTTAATGTACTTTTAATAAAATTTTATGAAAAGTACATTAAATATCACAAATTTTCATGAAAAATATATTAAATTTTATGTACATGTACATAAATATACTTTTTAGTTACAAATACATTAAATTTAATGTAATGTCATAAAATTAAATTCAAATTAAATTCAATTATGTAACTTAAAAGTTAATGAACTTTAAGATCATTTCTAACAGTGTTGTTATGTAGCAGAATCAGCTTATCGTGCCTATTGTCTCATTCCGGTCGTTTTTGTTTCAAAGCTTGGTTCAAACAAATTCAAGCCTGGGACGAATGCCAACTACTGGGCTCAAAAGCTTGAACATACACCTTTCAAATACATGTATTGCAGTTTTATCAAACACACAAGTGTTACTAACGACATCTCTGTAATAGGCGGAAACTTATTTCCATATCTAATATATTAGAGGAATATCTCTATTATGAGATGGGCGCCTAATATGAGATAGCGGCGTTTCTGCTAAACTAATAAACGCTATCTATTGATTCCACCATGAATTTATTGCTCTTGGATTGAAAACTATTTAGTAGAAAATTCATTATTGGATCATGCCTGTAATCATTGTAAAACAAGATTTTAGAATTTAAATGTCTTCAAGTTTCATTGAGATGACCCTTTAAACCTTGTTTATTATTTGATAAATAAATATTTGGCAATAAATTCTTCTTGTAGTGATAAAGTAAGGTCGTACTAATAGAAAAATACGGGATATATTGAATTGTTTAATTATAGAAGATAGATTTGATGATCGTAAAACCATAAAGTGTGGAAATCGTAATATGAGGTACCCAGGATATTTCTAATATGAAATAACCCATGCTCCTATGTTATAGTGAAAACGTTGCTAAAGTATAAATATTATTGTACAATAATAAAAAAGACAATCTGAATGAACGTCGAGTGCTTATTTCTGCGATGCTTGATTCCGACTACCTGAAGACGAGTTCTAGGTACAATCTATCGCATGCTCACTTTTTGCGCACACTGGCTGTGTTCTTTCGTATTTTAGAAACATTAAATCAAATTTTTTAATTGCAATACTGATATACTTTGCGTTTTACTATCGATTTCTCGGGGCATCTCATATTAGATTAGGAGCACAATTTTTTGACTTTGTGATTTGCTCACTTTTTACATTTCTTCAATTTTCAAAAAAAAATGGAATTTAAATTAAATTTTATATAACGTCTTCAAGCTTATTAAATCCCCTTCAAAATGACATATTATTTTTTTAAATTCTGCCTATAGACTTCTAGCATTTATCCAAAATGAACGTGGTATCTCATAATAGGAGCTCTATACAGGGTGATCCATAATCGCGCATTCGGAGTACAGGACATGATACTCTATGCTAAAACAAACAACTTTTTTCTTTAGCAAAATTGCGTCCGACAAATAGTTTTTGCATGAGAGCTTGATGAAGTTAACGAATAAGCGCTCGGACCTATGTAGCATTCAGGGCCGGCGCGCGCGCCTCAGTTGCGTGTACCATTCCGTGACTAGTATTCATAAATGATGTCTTTTAAGACGCTCATACGGCTCTGTTATGATTAGTTTGGGACATCTTAAGACTGTACTTAAGATATCTTATCTTAAATAAAAAGAAAAAACTATGAACAATATCGGCATTTGACCTTTTTCCATATTGTGTTACATAAATAATGAAAATTTAATAAAATAAATACTGCCTTTATTTCTTACGTAATACATGAATAAAAAATTGTCTGTTTGCATAATAATAATCTGAAAATAAAGACAAACGTAAATAATAATATGCTTCGCAAGCGTTCTTCTATTTCAAATATATTGTACAATTACGTGATTATAGTTAAATAGTATCGTTAAACTTAAAGAATAAACTGAATTTTCTGCTCAAGGGAGTACATTTATAACGGTGATTAAAAATAAAGTAAAATCGTCCGGCTAAAGCTACAATAATAAAATAGACAAAACAATTCGTAAGTACTTATGATGTAGGAAGATGTTCTCAGGTCTTAATACACTCAGCAGCAAAATTAAATAAATAATAATAAAAAATAATTAATTAATAAAAATAAAAATAAAAATAATAATTAATTTATTAATAATAATAAAT